ATGACCAGATTCAAGCGATCTACCAAAGAATGCAGATGTAGTTGTACTCGTAGGCTCACAAGTATCCATCCAACGTGCAATTCTGACACTTGACTTTCGTCCAACAAAAACGTGAGTCCTGCGAGGGCTGGTAGTCTCAAGCTGAGACTCCTTACACCCTGAGCACTGCGCATAAAAGGATCTCAGAGTCGTGACTGCAGAACACTTGAACATGTGTTGGGGTACAGCAGCATCAGACAACAAGGTCTCTGAAAAGTTCCAAGGAGGTAGGACTACGGGTCCCTGCCAGACATCGCTAGCATGCCTTAGAGATCTGTGTTTTGGTTCTGCACTCAGCCTGACTACCTCGTGTTAGGCTTTTCGGTTTCGTGTTTTTTTTTGGCTGTAGCAAAACTTTTGAGATTTATTTGGATTGTTTAGGGTCTCCTTAAGCCTGCTCGTTCTCGTGAGCCTAAGGCTTGTTAAACAAGAGCATGTCTAGGAGCGACCCAACCGCCAAATCACAGAAAAGAGGTCACTGCCAACGTGCAAAGAGGCTTTCCGCCAGACCCGGGCTTGCTGGTCCAGGCCGTGGGATGCAAAAGGGGTTTCTTGTGACGAACAACTTTAAGTCAGTGTCAACAAGTAAACAAGCCATAGAAACTTGAGTTTGTAGCCCGGCTAAAGCTTCAGGGCTTGGGAGAGTTCCCAACATGCTGCACAAAATTTGATGGCGGGTAAAAACCGCGCAGAAGTTATTGTCAACATGCAAGCCCAGCAAAGCCACAAGGTGGTGTACTGGTGCTCATCCATGTGCGTGATGCCTAGCATGCTGCAGAAAACTCCTATTCAATGGATTGCCCTTGGGAACAAGCAGCACACGCAGCTTTTGCAGGTCCCACGAAGAGCTCTTGAGCCCTGAAGCCTCAATGTCAAGCTTTCAGGCACAGGAGATCCTCCTTCAGTGGCAGGATAAGCCCTACCCGCCTGAGGAGCCATGACCAGCTGTGGTTTTGTTGAGCCAGTTAAATTACTATGTTTATTTTATTGATATTATATTATGATTAGTATCATTATCAGTATTACTAATATTCATATATTATGACTATTGTTATTATTATTATTAGGAGTTGTTGCGATGCAGATAAGGAATTGCAGGATCTCTGTTAGGGGTGTCCGTGGTCATGCAAATGCTAGGCAATTACTTAATCGTCATTGATCGGATCAGTACAGGCGTAGAGAAGTTTGGGTTGCAGCGCGTTCCGGAATCAGAACCTGTGTCTCTCTGACTCTGCAAGTTGGCGACATGCTATTAAATCTTCTTCTGTATGGTGGCCGGGAATATTGCAAGATATTGGTGCCTCGCCATTTCACATCATGTTGAAGCAGATGCATCACAGTTCTCGAAATATGCAATTCCAATCCAAGCGCTGAATCTCCAAGGCTTTTAAACATGGGCAATCGTTCTATGTCTTACTCGTAATAGAAGCTGACTTGAAGCAAGCCACTAGTCTGTTCCTACGAGGACTTTTCCTAGACCCTAAACCCGAAGCCCCACTCTGTTCCTACCTCTGCGAGGACTTTTTCAAGTACTTATGCAGTGGGCCGGATGCTGCATGGCCTTTGCCCGATCGTTTTTGCCTCTGGGGCTTTGCGGCCTGGCTGAAGCCATCTGGGACGTTTTCTGCTTGGGGTTTAGGGCTTAGGGTTTAGGCTTCAAGGTTTAGGGTTTAGGGCCGGGGGTTCTCACGATTGCAAGTTGAGGATTTCCGGATAGAGGTTTGGAGGTTTGGAGCTTTGAGGCATCTGTTCCTCCGGGGCAACATGCATTATCTTCCTGTTGTCGGAAGTTGACTTGGGGCGGGTGTAGCAGCTTGGGGAGTAGGGTGCTCCTACTGGTGTGACGTTTGATGATCGTTTTCTGGGTTGCTGTTAAGTAAGGAACTTAATTTAAGTTACTATATTGGGGAAACCCTATTATTTACTATATATACCCATTATGGTAACTTAATTTAAGTTCCTTAACAGCAACCCAGTTTTTTGTCGGTGTTTCTGATGCTCAGAGCAAGGATGTTACCTTCGAGAGAGTCTGGTTTAGATCTGCCTCAGAACAGCGGAGCTTTCTGCTGTTTGTGTCGAGTTGAACATGTAGATCAAGCAGCAGGAATTAGCATTGCAGACTTCCAGGCGAGGCCGTCAGCCAGGAATCGTAACTTGCTATAGAGGTTTTGGCTAGTGGGGAGGGTTTTGGGCTTGCAGATCATCAAAAACAATATGGTTGTTTGTGACGTTCGGACATGACATTGGCAAGGTTTCATGCGCAACGCACAGATGCTCTTCAAAAGCAAGAACATAAATGTAGCAAGTGTTCAGTCTGAGGCACATGAGAAGGCTTCCTCAGCCCTCAGCAATGATAATGACTCCATTCACGACATCTTCATGAGTAGGACCCACAAGAGGCCTTGCAAGTTCGACATTATCCCCAAGCCTGGAAGGCCCTAGAATCTCGGATTCGATGGTTTGAAATGCAGGTGGCGGCCCTGGTGATTCGCTCGCGACATGCCATGCTGTCCCAGGAAACCGTGACATTGACACCAGTATCAGAGTCTTAGTTGTCTCACTCTAAGGTTATTCAAGTTGAATGTCTCTGGGTGTACATATAGTACATAGCTCGCGTGCCAAGCAAGTTACGGTGCTCGAGCCTGGCTTTGTTCTCCTGGGGGTGCAGGGTCTAAAGTGAACCTGCCCAGAGTGGAGCCACAGATGCGGCATTTCGAACTAGTCGTGAAGCGGGTTGCCTCATGAAGTGGAGGTTGTCTTTGCACCTTGCAAAGAACCCTAAAACCTTAAACCCTAAAACCTTAAACCCCAAAACCCTAAACCCTCAAGTGATGGTCTTTGGCCTTAAAAGGTGAACCCTCATTTTCACTAAGACCTTTTGGGTTCCATTGGGGGTTTCAAAAATTTGAACACTCAGCTCCTACAGGGAATATGGGGGTTTAGGGTTTAGGGTGGAATATGGGGGTTCCCCCAAAATTAGGGGTACCATTTTGGGGGTCCCCATAATAAGGATTATCATATTTTGGGATCCATATTGGGGTCCCCCTATTTATGGAAACTACCATCGGGTTGCACCACAGTAGCGGCCTCCTCTTCCAATCACTCAGAGTTCAGGAAAATGTTTGCCTGAAAAACAGCACGTATTCCGAGTTGCCCCCAAGCCAGGCTATTAGGAACCGAGACCAAGGAATCCTTAGACTTCTAGCATTGAGCCCGTGAAGCCAAACTCAGTGTCCATGTCTGCCAGGACTTCGACACCAGGAAATCTGCTGACATCGATTTCGGCTATGCCACTACAGTGCTTGGACCCGTCCTGAGCCATAGGGCATAGGGGGAAGAGTATGGACTGCTCCAACTTTCTAGGATGTTTGCTTTTGAAGACTTTCAAAGGAGCCTAACCCAAGAATTTCGCTTTGGTTTCATGAGCAAGGCCGTGAAAGGGCGATGAGCAGCAACACGTGGAAACAAGCCATCAAGGGAACAACTGCCATCAATAATGAGATTTGTATTGTCCGGGTGGCCATCGCTGGGGTGATCAGCATTCTTTGTCATGGCTGTTGGGGTTATCATTTTGGCTTCTCTTGTTGCGGCAGGAAATGAAGTTCGCCAGTTGCGTGATGTCGTGCATGGGCTCTGGGTGCACTTTCAGGGGCATAGTAGATAGTGCGAGGAGAGCTGGGTTCCTATACTAGAAGTCTGCTCGTTGGAAAGTGACTTCAGGTGTGTATTGTTGCACTTTGCTTTGTACCAAAACTGACACTGTTTAGAAAACAAACTGCCTTCTTTCTCGTTGCTACCATAATCTATTCCCCAGAAGCTCACGGTTGGCCAAGTTATTTTTGTTCTGTTTGTAAGTGGACTAGAAGGAAAAGAGGGCTCCATGGACTTCCTCGACTCCTCGCCCTGGCCTATCTCCATCATTGATGCCTTCATCAACATCAATGAGACGGAAGCTTTTCTGCAAGTGGTGTTGGTGAGACTGGAGAGAGCCGTGGGAGGGGGTGCTGAAAGAGCATGACGGATCTATAGGGCTGCGACTTTCCTTGCGCTCCTCAATGACTGCATGCAAGCATCAACTACGCGAGCATATCCAGGGTTTTGGGGTCCTTCCTTGATGAGCCGTCTGGATGAGTTCTAACAGGCTGCAGGCCTTTAGCATACCAGGAACGGCAACGAGTTTTGTTTCTTGTTTGAACCATGGCCCGCCATGACCCAGCAAATTCATCCACATGATGTTGTAGAATTCATGACTGCTGTACAACTATTGCAAGCCAGAGAGTGATTCCTGCATATGTAAAGCATGGCATCGCTCCACATGATATTAGCCCTCAAGTGCTGCAGTGAAAAGTGTTTCATGGTAGCGGAGCCATCTCACCGGTTCATTCCTTTGGGTCTGACCGAAGAGAGGCTCCAGGGGACAGGACCCAATCCCCGCTAGAGGTTCTCTAGAGGCCTCCTAGAGTAGTTGTGTGTAGGCCCACACGAGCCTTGAGGTTATTCAGGTTTCACAAAATAATCCTTTCCTGTCTGAGTGTTTTCTGCTGGCTGCAATTTACTTTGCCCAGCTCTTTGGGTAGCTGCTGTTCACTCAGCCCACCCACAATCCGTGGTTTTGACAGGGTAAGTCCTCTGGAGAAGGCGCCTCCGCAACAGGTTGTCAGTGCGTGTGAGCTTTCGTGGAGCAGTGCTAGAGAAAGGAATTTTTCATTGCGATTATTTGTTTGGTTGGGCAAAAACAGTAATTTTGGCAAGGGCAACTGCACTTCTTTTGACAGAGCTTTCTTTGTTCAAAGAGAGTGTGGGCTACAGACAATGGAGCAGAATGGTGGAGCAAGCAGTTCAGATGCAGGGCAAGCAGCAGCTCAGGAGCAAGCGGCAGCGCAAGCGCAAGCAGCCCAGGCAGCGGCAGCCCAAGCCTTGGCATCTGGAGCTTTGCAAGAGCATGTTGATCGGTTGGTCAGGCAGAGGCTTGAGCAGGCTTTGGGGAATGTCTTTGGAAAAGTGCTGTCAGCTACCGAGAGGGCAGCACAAGCTGCAGAGGCTCAAGCAGCTTCTGCCAAGACGGATGGCTTGGTGAAGGCCATGAAGGTGGAAGCATGGAAGCCAACTACGAGAGAGGAGGAGCTGAAGACGTGGCGCGACTGGTTCTTTCAGCTTTCTACTTGGCTTATCGCAAATGATAGTGCGTACGAAGATGAGTTCAATCAGATTGAAGCAGACAGTCCAGTGGATCATGATTTACTGGATGAGGAGGCCATAAGCAGGAGTCAGAAGCTGTATGGCCTTTTGTGCTCTTTGTTGAAGAATCGACCTTTGCTGTTGATACGTTCCTTGGAAAAGGAAAAGGCTGGCTATGAAGCCATTCGCATTCTCAAGAACGAGATGGAGCCGAAGGAAAGGGCAAGGAGCCTTGCAATTGTGAAGCAACTTGCGGCTTGGCAATTCAAAGATGGAGTTGGTCTGCACGAACAGCTAATCTCCTATGAGGAGGCCTTGCGGAATTATGAGGCGAGCTCAGGGAATGTCTTTCCTGATGATCTGGTGGTTGCAACAGTTGTCACTGGACTTAAGGAGCCTCTGAGATCGCAGGTGCAGCTGAGAATGAGGTCCACCACAAAGTACAGTGACATTCGCGAGTGGATCCTGCAATATGAAAACGTCAATGCGCCTTGGAGTTTGTCAGTGAACCAGAAAGGTGGAAATCAAACCACCAACAGTGGGCCCCAGCCAATGGATGTCGACCAGATCAAAGGCCAGTGGGGCAAGTGTGGGAAGAGCGGCAAGGACAAAGGAAAGCACGGCAAGCAAGGCAAAGACAAGAAGGGCAAGCAGCAGCAACCATGGCAGAGTGGCAAGCACCAGCAACCGTGGCAAAGTGGCAAGCATCAGCAGACAAAAGGCAAGCATCAACAGTACACTTGGGGCAAAGGAAAAGGTCATGATGGCTCTGGCAAAGGCTATGGTGGCTGGGAACCCCAGAAGGGGAAGAAAGGCAAGGGCAATGGGGCTTGCAATAATTGCGGGCAGTTCGGGCATTGGAAGAATGAATGCCCATCAAAAGGCAAAGGCCAAGCAGTGCGCCAGGTGGAGGACACGCAGTCCCAGTCGGGACATTCCACAGCAGCTGCTTCTGGTGTTTCTACAAGCGCCTCCGCCTACAGAGTTCCAAGCACAGTCCAGCGTGTGGAAGCAGTTCATGAAGCAGCTTTGTACACTCCTCCCGGCTGTCGAGAAACTTTGATTTTCGATATCTCTGAGATTGAGTGCGATCCCGGTGACCTTGATGAGTTTAGTCTGCCGAGTGTCATGGTGATTAAGGCTTTGCCCCAGCACTTTGAAATGGACGCCGCTGACTGTGACAAGGACTGGGATGTGTGGTCTCCGTCTGCCCTCGACACAGATCTCACGCCGGAAACGGGAAGCGAGGCCCAGCTAGTTGCTGCAAATGTGAATGTCATTGAAAGTGGTGCTGGATTTCAGCCAATGGTTGATGTGGTGGTTGATTCTGGTGCCGATGTTTCTGTGGCACCCCTCAGCTACAGGCATTGTGGTGAAGCTGCTGGACGGACGGGAGTCCTTATGCAAGATGCCCAGGGCAAGAGGATCCAAGAGATTGGGTCCAGAATCCTCAATGTGGAGGTCAAGGATGCTGATGGAAGGCCAGTGCAGCTCAGGGAGCGTTTCTCCATTGCAAACATTGGGTCAGTAATTCTCTCTCTGTGTCGCTTGATTCGAGGCGGCTGGAACTTGTCGCATGGAAATTTTGGGCAGTGTTTGGTGAAAGATGGCTGCTCCATCCCCATCAGACTTAGGAGGAACACGCTGGTCATGGCTGCAATTGTTTCTGCCATTGCAATGTACGATTCTGGCCCTTTGCCACCGGAGGCAGAGGAAGTTGCTACCCAGGCGGGGTGGCATATCATGCCATCAGGACTACCTTTGCGAGTGGTTCACCGTGCAACGGCCGTTCCTCTTGAAGACTCTTTGTGGAGTACAGACGATTGGTCCTGGGTTAGTGTCTTTGTCAGAAAAGAGGTTTCAGAGCGCCAGCCTCAGCCAGGAGATGTTTGGCTTCAAGTTCTCACTATGAGCAGTCAGGACTTTGAAAGGCACCACAGACAGTTGATCCTCATCGATCCGGAACTGCAGGGTGAGCGTGACATTTGCATTCTGTTTCATGTCGAGGAAATTCCCAACAGTGTTTTGTCTGATCCTGGTGAGTTGTTCAGAGCGCCGTGCGAAAGGGATCCCCCTTTCTATCCTGCAGGCGAGGAGCCAGGTGCAGGGGTCATGGTGGATGATGTCATGGCTGAGGGACGTCCCGTGCGTGGTGCTCAGGAGGAAGAGCCAGGTGATGCCGTGTTGGATGGTGTGACCCTCAACATGGCCACACCTTTGAAAGCCCTCAAAGACCTTTGCGCTCAGCTAGGGTTAGCTACAAGTGGAGCAAAGCCTAAGGTTCTTAAACGGTTGCGTGACCACCATGAAATCATGGAAAGACAGATGGCCAGTGATGTGGCCAGGAAGCTGTTCCAAGAGCAGGAAAGGGTGCCTGAAACTTTGCGAGCGCCAGTGCTGCCCAGTGCAAGGCAGCAGGAGCTTCATGCCATTACTCACCAGCCGTTTGCAAGTTGGTGCCCTTCATGCGTCCTCGGCAGAAGCAGGCAGAGCCCCCACTCCTCCTCACAGCGTGTGGAGAAGAAGGGTGACCTCAGCGATACCAAGCCTTGTATCCAGATTGATTACTGCTACACATTCACTTCAGAAAGGGGTGAGGGCCATCTTAGCGAATCAAAGTCTCGTGAGGATCCCAATGTCGAAGCAGAAGCACCTCAGCCCCTAGTTGGAGATGCAGATGAAGCTGAGAATGTTCCAGATTACATGAATCAGTTTGGCTTGAATCTTGCAGGCGCTGAGTCCACTACTGGATGGGTGATTGCAATTCCTCTCATGGCTAAAGGCACCTCCTCCCTAAAGAAGGTCACAGAGCACATCACACGTTTGAGCATGCAAGTTGGTGGCGGTGATAAAGTGGTTGTTCAAGGGGATCCGGAGCCCGCAGTGAAGCAAGTGATCAACAGTGTTGAGGCGTGCAGGGTAAAGCTTGGTTTGACCACTGAAACTCGTTTTGCTCCCAGAGGGTCCCATGCTAGCAATGGTCTGGCTGAGAAAGCAGTTGACACTGTGAGGAGAAATGCTTTGACTTTGAAAGCTCATGTTGAGGACCGGATCAAGGCCAAAATTGGGGGTCATTGCCCAATCTTCGCATGGCTGCTGAGACACGCTGCTTTTCTTCACAACCGTTTCTTCACCACTGCCAAAGGAGCCCCTCCTTACGAAATTGTGTATGGTCGGCAGTTCAAAGGCAAATTGATTGTCTTCGGAGAGCAGTGCATTTTTCACAAGCATTCCAAGTACAAGGGTGATGTTCAATGGCGTAGGGGCATTTGGGTTGGTGTCAATGAGCGCAACGGTGCCCATATTCTTCTCACCGATGAGGGCGCCTTCGAAAGCCGGTCCATACGACGACTTCCTGGAGAAGAGCAGTGGTGTGCTGAAAGTGTACTGCAAGCAAAAGGGTTGCCTTGGGATTACCTGGGGAAAATGAAGAGGAAGAAGCCCCTTTACACTTCCACCAGGGTTCCCCTCTTGCCTGACAGTGCAACTCTTGAGGAGTTGGCAAAAGCTGCTGGGAAAGCGGCAGCAGAGACTATTGTTGCAGCCACTCCCAATCTCGGAGCACGTGATGAAGCAGGTTCGGATCCAGAGACGTCCTCAAGCCCTTCGGGTACTACCTCGTCAAAGCACAGCACAGGAGAAATGAGTGGCCAATCAAATGCAGTTCCAGTCCAATCTAAAGCAGCAGCACCAACACAAGCAGAAGCAGTGCCCGTCCTGCCCAAAGCAGGAGCAGCGGCAGCAAAAGCAGTTCCGGTTCCCAAGTCCAGTGCAGGAGCCTCGCGTGATCCAAGCATGCCTCTTGGTCCTAAGGTGCCAGCTGTCCCACTGGGCACAGCTCCGGGTTCAAGCATGGAAGTTGGAGACAGGGGCACACGTCCTGCGTCTGATGTTCCAGAATCCGCAGCCCCAAAACGGCCAAGGTTGATACTCAGTAGGAGGCCGCCTGGATCCCCAGGTGGTGGAGGCACTCTTTATCCTCCAAGCTTCGCAGGCGTCAACCTAATCCATGGTGATGTTCCAATGGACGAACTATCTTCCTCTGGTGATTGGATCAATGATGTGGAGGATGTCTTGGAGGCTGATCCGACAGATGAGCTGCTTTGGGATTATGATGGTGAGTCACCTCCTCAGCTCTCTGCAGAGGAGCTGAGCAAGCTTGATCTCAAAAGCGATTTGATTGAGGTGGAGCGCCTGGTTGCAATGGGAGTCCTTCGGGAGATGAAGCCAGGGGAGAATGTGACAGAATACTCTCTCCTTTCCACGAAAGTTGTGCGGGATTGGAGAAAGAGGCCTCACTGGGTCAGGAGGAGCAGGCTTGTAGCGCGTGAGTTCAAGACGTGGACGCCTTGGTCTCAGGAGTTGTTCGCACCTGCCTCTTCACTTGGAGTTGTGCACAGCCTCATGGCATTGGCGCAAAGCAAGGGCCTCGAGTTGGTCACCCTAGACATCAAGGATGCCTACCTAAATGTTCCCCAGAAGATGAAAGTGATCATCCAAGTCGATGCGGCGCTCCTTGGGGATCCGGGTGGTGGCCTGATAACGTTTGCCCTTGATCGACTTCTACCTGGACAGCGTGTTGCTGCCAGTGAGTGGTTTGTGTTTATTAAAGACATTCTGGTCGAGGCGGGGCTTCAGGGCTTTCAGAAGGAGCCTACACTGTTTAGGTCAGAGACCAAGGATGATGACGATACAAACTTGGTGTTGCGTGCTGATGATGGTCTTCTTGCTTCAAGCGCAGCTGCAAGGGAACTGGTGTCCCAGCTGAACAAACACGTGAAGGTGCAGGTCAGTGAGCCCATGAAAGATGTGGGTGATGAGTTGGAGTTTCTCAAGAGGCGTTATGTGAAGGTCGAGGATGGCATTGTGATGTACTCTAGGCGCAGGCATCTGGAAGGGCTTTTAGAGGCACTGGGGAATGTGAAAGAGCGTGATGCCCCGAGTGACCAATCCTTCTTGGATGCTGACTCAACAGATGTGCTTCCTCCAGCCAAAGCACGAGTCTTTAAGGAATGCGTAGGCCGGCTTCTTTACCTTAGCCATACCCGACCAGACATACAATTTTCAGTGTGTTGTCTTGCAGGCAAAATGAGCGAGCCCACGATCATGTCTATGAAATGGCTGCATCGCGTGGTTGGTTACTTGAAGCGTGTCCCTTCGCTGGGATTCCTCATCGAGCCGGTGATGATCAATGGTTGCTTGGAGTTCTCTGGCCATGAGTTCCCCTTTGCTGGCTCAAAGATTGTGCTTGAATCGGTCACTGATGCAGACTGGGCAGGCAACCGAGCCACCCGAAAGAGCAAGTCGAGCGTTCACCTTTACCTTGGAGGTTCTTTGGTGGCAAGCTTCGTGCGTAGCCAAAGGTCAGTTGCTTTGAGCTCAGGAGAGAGCGAGTTTGTGGCAATGGTTTCCGGGGCTACTGAATGTGTGTATCTTCGTGAGTGCATTGACTTTATGACCAAGAAGAAGTATGATTTGGACTGCATTTTGCGGTCCGACAGTGCGGCTGGGCGTGGCATCAGCCAAAGAATTGGCTGTGGAAGAATCAGGCACTTGGATTGTGGATTCCTGTGGGTCCAAGATGGCGTGAAGCAGCGCTGGTTCAGGGTTGGGCCAATCAGTGGGGCGAAGAACCCAGCGGATCTCGGCACTAAGCCGTTAGCTGGGGCTCGCCTTCGAGAGTTGGTCTGCAGAGCTGGTGGCGTGGATGAAGATGGCGAGAAATTCGGTGCTGAAGAGCTCGGTCGTGCTGAAGTGAGACAGGTCCTGAAAAGTGCAAGCGTGAAAGGATCAAAGGCGAAACAAATCTTGCCTGTTTTGATGATCCTTGCTCAAGTGATGGGAGCTGATGCGGTTGAGGGCTTGGGCCTGGCTATGATCGCTTCGAGCTTTGAAGAAGTGTTTGTCTCCGTTGTTTCGACGATGGTGGCGGCAGTAGTCCTCATGATGTTGATTGTGGGGATTCCTTGGTCCATGTACAGTGGAGCGAGCTTGTTTGCAAGCTGGTTCAGGGCAAAGCTGTCAAGAGGGGTGAATGTTAAAGACATTGGTGTTCAAGTGAATCGTGGCATGAGTAGATCTGAAGAAAGGTTTGTACAGGAGTACAAAGACAGGCTCGCTGAGACTGAGAGTCTGTGGCATGAAGAAATGGAGAAGACTGCACAGTGTGAACGAGAGCTTCGCCAATGTAGATCAGAAATTCGGGAACTGAGAGGGCAGCTAGCAGCTGCCAACCAGCGAACAGCTGTTCCAGCTGAAATTCATGTAGCAACAAACAGTGGTACAGTGTATCACAATCCTGGCTGCGCCTCACTGCACTCAAGCAACCGAACTAAGCGTTACAGACCTTGTCATCAGTGCTTTGGGCATTGAATCATTTGAGTGTGGCGAATCAGCAACTTGACGATGCTGATCCGAGGCGGGGTGCAAGCCAGAGAGTGATTCCTGCATATGTAAAGCATTGCATCGCTCCACATGATATTAGCCCTCAAGTGCTGCAGTGAAAAGTGTTTCAACTATATTTGTTGATGCTTGTCTTCAGATGCGCAAAGCTCTAAGGAATTTGTCAGAGCCTCAGCTGATTCAAGGGGGAGTTGGGAACCATAGGCGAAGAACTTTAAGCTCAAGAAGGGTTTGGGTTTCGATGCTTGGAGCGTAGAGGGCAGGGTAAGGGCAAACTTGTTACCATGAAGTCCCCCTCAGCCTTGCTTTCTTTGATGGGTTCAGTGTGTCAACGCAGTGGCAGCTACGATCCCCAGCTCAAACCGTTGCGTTTAAGGAGTTTCAATTCCAGGTCATAGCTTGGCCTTCAGTGCAGCATCATTCATGCCAGAGGCTTTGAGGAGGTAGCAAGTAGGTTAGCAAGGTTCAAGTTGTAGTGAATCTTTTTCCCTGCTGATCCCTACAGTCGCTATAGCTGGGGGAGTGGATGCAAAAGGCTTGCTGCTTAGCTAATTTCTCCTTTGGCCGGAGCACTCAAAGGCAGCCAGCCGACCCCACGGCATTGTGCAGGACAACAGGTTAGTGAGTTGGTGGTTGGTGGATGGGCCGGGGTGGTTGATGGGCTGCAAGTAACTTGCCTGTGGCAAGTCTTGCAGATAATCGCAGCATCCTCTGTCCTGTTGAAAGTTCAGATCTTGCCCAGTTTCACTTTCTATTCATTCGGCTAGCGCTTGGCAGCAAATCTGCAAGCTTGCTCTAGATTGAGTTGCATAGTTTTCGACATGCGAAGGTATCTATCGGCCAACATTTGCCATCTCTGGTACTATCATTATGCTTCTTTCGCTGGCTCATTCTTGCGTGATCATTTGCACAACTCCCACGATTATGTCTCTTCTTGTACTTGACTGGTCGAATGAGTATGCTGCACAAGTATGCTGCACAAGAAGGGTCCGCTCAGCAAGGTTATGTTGACTACAACAAGACACATCCGGTGCAGCCTCCACAAGTACCACTTCAAGCGCTATACTGGTGGCTCGCCAGCGAAGAAATTCCAGTAGCGTTCTTGGCATGCTAAAGGCTCCTTGGGGAGATTGTAATTCTTTCCAGGTGTTGTGTGTCCATGTGGGTTTTGGTAATGTAGATGGACGTTGAGCCCGAACTTGATGTTTTTTCGGAGCCTTATATCCATGCTTCGTGCATTTCAGCAACATCTCACTCCAATGCCTGCCTTGACACCCTGAAGCCTGAGTACTTGTGACTACCTGTTCCCCTGCCCCTGTGTTGATGAATGAGACCAACTCCGCATAACATGCTTCCAGTACAGCGCAAGGCCAAAAACCCGGGCCCTAAGTCCCAAAGCCTAACCAAAACCCCCATGCTCTCTTTGTGAATCTCTACTGCTCCTGTCCATCTCAGGCGAGCGGCCGCGCCGCTTCCGCCAGTAGTCCTGGAGCCCGAGGTCCGTTTTTCGGCAGGAAGAGCTCCGAAATTCAACATTGGTGGCTTGAAAGTCGGGATTGATGGCAGAAAATGAGGGTCTAATATTCGGGTTTTAGGTTTGATCAGCCCAAGCGCCACCTGACAGATGTAAGAGAAGTCTTGTTATACAATTGTCCAGCTGCTGCACTGTACCGGTGCCAGTTTTGCAAGAGAAAATCCTCAATCAAGTGTTGCTGATCCCAGATCCAGAGACCCCATATAATATACTATAATCTGTTATAATGTAAACCAAACCCAAAACAAACCTTCGCCTTCAACTCGTAACTTGTCAGCCTGCCCTTGTGGCCTTGATCCAAGGCATAGCGGTTCTTGGTACCCATGCCACGCTCTCGCTGGAACCTGTAGAGATGCTGCGAAGGCCTCAACGGTCTTGACTGGGCTTTTGGCAGTACATCTTGGAGCTGTGATAGCAACCAGCACCACGTTTGGCATTTCTGTTTTTTCGCTATGGGGTTTAGGTTTTGGGATGTAGGCAGCTTGCATGGCAAATTTTGGAGTTAATGCAAATTAGAAGTTGCTCTTGTCAGTTGTACCCAATATACCATAGTAGTTTCCATTTTCTTTTCCATTGTCCCCATATAACCCCAATGGAACCTCAATATAACCCCAATATGCTACTTTGACCTTTCCCTCCAAAAGCCTCAGAGACCGGACTGCTGTGACTGTAATTCTTTGTTGTTTGATTGTTTCTGTGTCAGGCAAGGTACCAGGCAAACTTGCTTACTGACTTGGAAGACTGGGGCTTCATCAGAAACGCTGCTATGCCCTTCAAAAGCAATGGTGTCCAAGCTGAATGAAAGAAGCTGTGCAGGTTTTCAGGCCTGCAAGTGTCGGCAGTGTTTTACGGCCCGGCACTCACTGGAGAGAGAAAGGCACAACAAGCAGTTTGCTGGATCATTCAACCCTTACCGGTCTTCGAGTGTTTGCTTGACTTCGTTGGTCCATGCCAGTTTTGGAGTCATGGCAGAAGCAAGATTCTGGCCAATTACTGGAATCAATTCCTGCCGATATCAGCGCTTCAAACTACCACCTACAGCAATTTGCGAGGCGTGTAGCCAAAGTATCAGAGTGTTTGCTAGCCGCTAGCCCTGCGCAAACCCATCTTTACCAGTTCAGTCTAAACGCCTGATCTGGACAAAGGGTAGGCTCACCCATCTGGTCGGTGAAGAGGACATCCAAGAGGACCACATTGCTAGCTGTGCAAATTCTTGTTAGGCTTCTTTCTAGGTACAGAGACACCTCCGCTGCTCCTTTAGCCTTGCACAAATTTCTCGAGATCATAGGCCTTTTGCACAGCACCAAGTCGTAGGAGAGTAAAGATCACGGGAATGCCAACCGGAAATCCCGAGCCTGAAGTCATGATCTCAGAATGCTAGGCCCTGAGACCCCAAGCCCTGAAACCCCAGGCTCAGATTCTGAAAGCTCACACCCTGGACCCTAAATCCTGAATCTGAAGGCCCTAAGCCAGAACAGTTTGCTGAGGTCTGGAACCTCGCTTCTGCCAGCTGATGGGCATCTGCGACCAGGTGCACTGATGGAAGTGCCAAAACGGAAGCTTCTTCCTTTCGCAGTTGTTGAGATCCTGTGGGTTGAGACACAAGTCTTCTACTAGGGTATATTGGGGTTATATTGGGATAATGGAAGGGAAAATGGAAACTACAGGGATTATAGGGGTTATATAGGGGATATACTGGGGTTATATTGGGATAGAGTCTCTGCAAATCTGAGGCATCTAAAATCCCATCCCCGAATGTCGGGTCCTTTCCAGACATGAACAGGTAAGTGTGACTCAACGTCGTCGAGATGTCAATCTTTCTTGCTGGGGCGGTGTAGATTTCGGGCTAACGGGGACCTAAGCAAGAATTGCTTATCACAATGACAGCCGAGGTCGGGAATTGGACTTTTGTAGTAGTGTACTGTAGTGTGCACTTATACATTTTTGTCCGCTGCTCCAATGGTCCAACAGAGTGGCGATTTACTTGAAGCCCCAAACAATAGCCAGCAAAGGGTTGTCTCTGTCATGCCCGTTTAAAGAGCTGTACTAGAGTTCACTATAGGGATTGGCACAGTAGCTGTCCCATCAGACTACGTCGAAAATCGCCATGTGCCCCAGGCAGACATTTCGGGCACCCCAAAAAACAGATTCTGCAAGTTTCATGCCGCCGAGACTTATGGGATGTTATGGGTGGATTGACAGTAGCTGCCTTCCCTTTCATCCTCTCGAGGGACCACGATGCCAACATCCTACCATTACATGGGGTTCTTGCGCATGTGACAGTGCATTTGCAGGGGAGCGCGATCCTGGCGCAGCTTTTCAAGGAGAGAACATGACACACGTGTCACGGGACTTGTTTTCAAAAAGGGGCGCAGCTTTTCTTGCATTCTTAGATGTGGCATTGACTTTTAAGGGGTTACATCTCAGGATTTTCAGACCTAGACACCCGACAGGCCTCAATCGATTGTACTTGGATTTGACTGAAGGATTTCAAGAGTGGTGGCGCTCCATCAGCACAAATTGGAGTTGACAGCATCTCTTACCAATACTCTAACAGTTCCCGGTTTCAGAAGGGCTAAGCCTGGATTGCTCTCCATGTCTGAGCAAGAGCTTCAAGCTACATCCTCTTCTAGATCATGTCCTAAGTCCTAAGAGCCCCTGAGGAGCTGCAATGTTTTGTGTAGGCTTGTCGTGAGACTGGTTCTGCCACTGAAAGTACCTTATGAAGGGCTCGTCAATCAAGTGTATTTGGAATGGTGTGTTGAGGCAAAGTCCTCAGCACTTGATGTGGTGCGTCAGCACTGGCTATGATAGATCATGTCACAGGGTCAGGCTCCAGTCTATCGACAACCCCTTGCAAAAAGAGGTCTTGCACTGAATACGCCCCTGCAGATGCTGCAAGCGTCAGCCTTTGGTTCTTCGTGTGTTGTGAGGTGCGTGTCTATTATAGACTGTTGAGATTTGAGAGACTCGTCTGAAAGCGGCCGCATTTGCACACAAGGTGTTTCCTGCCTGTGCTTTTTCAAGGGCATCTGTTGCGACACGGAAGACTGAAGGTAGGAGTATTCTTGTCTTCTTGGATTTTCTTTGTCAGGACGCAGAGAAAGATCCTTTTGCGCGACTTGCCAGCATGAAGTGGACCTGTTTGTTTCTAGGTGACATCTTGTTTTGATGATTGTTTTCTACCCTGCAGAACGAGTTTGAAACAACAGGTTCATGTAGTCTCAAACGATGGCCCACTGTTGTGAACTTTGCAGCCTGCATTGGCCATCCGCACCTCGTGATGACTTTTCGTGTTAAGCCCCTAAGGTCCAACACTTTGAACTGCCAACAGTTCAAATACATCCCTAAACCCTACACCCTAAATGGTAGTTCACATTTTCTTTTCCATTGTCACCATAAAATCCTACATAACCCTACAGTATCCCCATGTCGCCCTATGCAACCCCGCATTATCCCGATATGACACTACACAACCCTACAATATGCCTGTATAGCCCTGTATAACCCTACATTATCCCCATATAGCCCTATATAACCCCTAAACCCTCTAGTGAGTTGCAGACCTTTGGGCCACCAAGCCGTTCAACAGTCTAGCTATTTTCTCCCGATTTTTGTTCAGCAGTTGCTGGTTCACTTGCTTTTGTACCAAATGGTCCTTTCCAGGACAGTGTGTAACCTTACTCCTTGCCATCAACACGAGTTTTTGTTTGACCGTGATCAGCGCCAATGATTCGTTCAGCGGAAGGTTTCCCTGGGCCATGCTGAGCGAAAAACTCGCCGGGCTTCTGGCTCAGGAGAATAAATGGGGGCATCTTGAAAGTTAGTGTGCGATTCTGCGGATGTCATTGCTGTATGGATGTCTGTATGTGTGCTGCAGATTCAACATAATTCAATGCTGCTTTGGGTAGACCTCCCCCAGGCAGTCGACCCATCCCAGCGATCTCCAAACCATCTAAGCCCTCAGCATCCTGTCCTCATGTTGAGTTTCCAAAAAAACGTCCGAGTACTGCCTGGAAGGATCTGATGTGAAACCCCAAACCCTTATAGTCCCCGTTAAGTACATAGAACAATTCCCTATTATCCCCCTGTAATGGAGAATCTAATGGAAACGAAAATGGAAAATGAAATGGAAGCTAGGGGAATATAAGCCCCCTTAAGTAGATAGAATGTGGCTTTGGGTATATTGTAATACGATCCCCATATACTCCATATTCTATCTACCTAAGGGGGACTATAGCCGTAGCCCCTGCTTCCAGGATGATGGTTTACGCAAAGCAGAAATGTCTCGCGGCCGCAGCTTCCGACATCTTGTAATGTGACGGGGTCCGGTCAGTGAAAGGGTTGGGGGAGGATTGAGGGAGGTCTCAACATGAAGCTCTTGCATGTCAGCTTTTCAAGCTAGGAATTCCAAGAGCGCTAGCCCTATGACGTAAGTTTTCAGCATCAGCGTGGCCAAGCTTCAGGAATGTGCGGAGGTGTCTTTGACAGCACTGCAGCGACCCTGATGATTTCTTCTGCAGGATCATCGTCCAACGAATGTGCAATGTATGCATTTTAAAGGTTCCTAACTTTGAAGCTCTGGCTGTGCGTTACAGGTCTGTACAAGTAGATGGGACATTGAAGTTCTTGATGAGTTATGCTTGCGTAATAGGCTTACAATCAAGTCTTTTCAGGGAAGCATTTCAGAAGATTGAAAAGCCCGGCCACTTGCTCAAGATTCGCTGCCTGGTAGTTGCGGAAGCAGTTTTGGAGGCTGCTCAACTTGGTGTACGGAAGCAACACAGGATCCTGTTGCCAGACAATCTGTACGACTTGCTTCTCAGCCTCAATTGTTTCTGCTACCGTAGCCAAATCCTAAGCCAGAGGTGCAGATCCACGCAGACCTTGCGGTCATTCGTTGAGTAAGTGGTGCCTTCTTTGGCGCACTCTTTCTGGATGCCCAAGACAAGCTCAAAGCCCCAAACATCGAAATCAGCCATAGCTAGAAATCCGTCACCCTGGATCGTTATCTCAATCAACCCCTTCACCGAACACCTCATCAAGCGCGAACCCTAAACTACTGCAGAAACCTGGGCAATTGCAAATGTTTGTGTATGTCCGTGTGGTTATGTGATACCATCACATCACAACTTGGTTCAATCATTCAGTTGCCAATGACTATAAGCCTTGTTGGTACGGGCAGGCTTCTGTGCACTGAGCCCATTGCGGGATGCCTGATGCTTCGAGACGCCGCTGAAGCGTCGGGGCGAAGGCGGTTCTCTGAAACCAACCCGTCGCCGAAGCCACAAGACATTGAGATTCAACATCCTGATTAAGACTTCCCCAGTCGCAAGTCCCATGCCTTGGTAGGATGAAGCCGGCAAACCATAGACCTGCCAATCATAAACTTGAGCAGGCTGCCTCTTCTTGGGTACCTGGGTGTGGCTTTGCTGAACAGCTGCCCGCCAGAGGACCTGGCCAAGTTCTGGGCGTCTTGGCAGGGTGACGTTTGCTTTTCGGTTTTTGGATAAAAGATTAAGGCATAATGGCGTATAATATAGTCAAGCATAGTAGAATCTAGTATAAGGTAGTAGATTTAGGATAGATGTTCTCAACCAGGAAAATGGAACCTGATACGACGTCCTTACTACAGGTCCTTTGCAAGTTCCTTCTGCAATTGGGATGAAAGAAGCCCAATATCAAGAATTCGCTGGGGATTGATAGGAAGATGCCTGCACAGGCGATTCGTGAACTTTGAGGTGTTAATGATTTGGGGTTGTTTGGAAAAGGTTTGAGGGTGCACGGATGCTACAATGGTTGAACCTGTGCGGGTCTTTATGTGCGCCTTCTGGGTTTTCTGCTCTACCCTAAACGGGGGAAGGTCTTGGGGGTTCAACGAGGCACGTCAAAAGCTTTTTGGGATGGGCCTGGACCCGTCAAAATTCTCTGAGCCCGAGAAATGCTTCCATGGATGCTGCACATCTCAGAGCTGCCGGCACGACATCCTGTACTTTGAACATGGCCGTATTTTTTAAACTCCAGCACAAACCGAACCTTCAATTCTTGCCGCGTTCCGGAATTTTGAAACCAGATTCTACGCACAAAAAGACCTAACACTGCAACACGCGAGCCCACCTCCTCCACCTCTTTAACCTCCTGCAACTACTACAGCACTGCCCACTCTGAAAATCCTCGAAACTGAGCACTTGAACCCGGGATACCTAGAACCTAAGGATTCTTTGGTTCACGTAATGGACACACCGGATCTTGCGGAGATGGCTGTCAACAACTTGCAGCTCTGTTTGAAAAGACTGGGGAATTTGGGGACTCCTGTCCGGGTGAAAAGAAGATTCTATAGTGACAGGGTTTTGCAACATGTCTCTGGCTATTTTGGGCTACATGCCACCCTCTTGCAAAGTCATCAGATGTCTAAAGCAGTCTCAGCAAGGGAGTTACCAACAAGGGATGTCTTGACTTGCAAAACGATTTGCATGGATAATATGATGTGAGAAGCAGACAAGGCGCATGTGAGGTACTCCATCTGGCCTTTGGTTAGCTAGGAATGAAGGAATGGATCCGTATAGTAGTCCCTATATAACCCAATATAGTAGTTTCCACTTTCTTTTCCTTTCTAACCCTAAACCCTAAACCCATTATAGTAGTTTCCGTATTCTTTTCCATTCTCTTCTTCCCAGCTAACCAAAGGCCAGCCGTGCAAGTATTCTCCCAGGTCCAGAAGTGTGGCCTGTTGCCGCAAAAACGGGGATTGCCATTCAGACCTGGGAGATTCTGGGTTTGGGTACTTGATTCTCGACATTTTGCCACTCCAATCGCATTTGCCCTTCCGTCTCTTGACGTTATGGATGCACGTGCTTGAGACTCAGGGTTGTGCTGAGACTGGGCCTTTGCTCTTGCATCCATGATGAAATCCCGAACACAAGTACACCAACGGGGTAACGCAAAACCGGAAGGCGACTATAAACTGGAAGCTGAATGCTTGTCTTCCCCTCAACACTGTGCCATGCCAAAGTGACTGTTTGAGGATTCTCTCCGAGCAGATCTACTACCAGACTGGTTACCGCAACCGGCCTGCACGACGTTTGAGACTACGGGTCTAGGTTCTATTTGAAGTAAGGTGTCCCTTATTTACAGGTTCTGCATAGACACTGCCATGTTACCAAAACGGCTGGCTTGCTGCTTTATCTTCAGTGTAGGATCTTGTACATATCTGTGCGCGACTCAAGAGGCATCCTGTCTTGACTTTATCTTGCGGATCTGCAGGATTTCCATACGTACGAGCACATGGCCTCTACACCAACATGGCCTATGCACCGAGCAAGCTGCAAGACATCCTCGTGTGGCGTGCGCCCTTATTCAGCTGCCCGTCACAAATGCGAAGAAAAAACGAAATAGTCTCAAACCTCTTGTTCATTCTTCCAGTTAAACAAGGGCATTTAGGCTTTGGGACAGAAAGTAGTCTGCAAAAGCTTTCCTGATATTGTTGTTGCTGCTCTTCTTACAGACTTGATATTGGCATTCATGTGGGATACTTGCAAATGACTCATGCCGCTCTCTGGGCACAGAGTCTGGGCATTGCAAGCGACATGCTGGGGCCTTCGAGGTCTCCTTTGTCATAAGTGGAACCTGCTTCAATACTCAAAGATTCTGCATAGGGACTCTGAGCCTACTAGCTCGTGCCCCTTCACATATTCTTAGTATTTGAATCTTTAAGTTCCGTTATGCATCCAGATCGCATGGATCTTGAAGCTTCTTCGGCACAAGTAAATTAAAGAGGCTTTCAACCTTACTCCCAAGCTCTGTCAACACCTGGAGGTTATGTGACAACCCGATGTGCCATGATGCATTTCATGGCCGCCAATCCCCAGCTTGCCATCCATTTTCACTTCATGGAGGCGGGGCTGAGGGTTCAGGGCTGAGGGATGTGTGGCTTACGGGTAAAGGGCGGTCTCCTTGATTGGGATTCAAGGTTTTTGACCATGAAACACCTTGCACGAAGCACGATACCAGCAAGAGTTGCTGGTACACAGGTTCCTGGGAAACAAGCTTCAACCAGTTGCGTTGCGCTACGATTTGGTAGTTCCCCCAAATAGGGGGACCCTAATAGAAACCGCCAAATACTATAGTCCTTATTATAAGGACCCCCAAAATGGTACCCCTAATTTTTGGGGAAACCGCCTATTTGGAATCTCGTCCGAATTTCCTGCAAGGAAGGTGAAAGCTTGCCCTACGCAGAGGTGGCAACTTTCAAGGCCAGAGGGAAAGGATTGGTAATATTGGGATAGTGGAAAAGAATATGGAAACTACTATTAGTATAAGAGGGGTGCATAGGGGATATCTTGGGGATACATAAGTCATGAGGGGGATTGTCAAAATTATGGTCCCATTTTGGGTCCCTATTATAATACGG